TGATAACCTTTAAACAGTGCAGTAGCACAGTACTTACAACAACCCCGTAATGCAGGCCGGTACGGCAGATGGAGGTCTGAGGAAGGCCCGCTAGGCATGTTGCCTTCAGTGGAATCAGCCCAGATCCACAGCTCAGTCTTTTAACCTCTACACTACTCTTGAGTTGGTCTCTCCGACCTCCACACATGAAGGCAACACACCAGCAAGCCCAGCCAAAAGAGCATCCAGAGGCAGAACTGGCTCTGTATACATTTTTGCGTCCTCACTTTCGCCAACCCCAAATTCCTTCCTTTTCCGAGGCCCGGCCCCGCGGACACTCACCGCTTTACTACGCCCGTTTTTATCTTTATCTGCCTGACGCGAGAGTCCGCCATGGCGCAGTCTCCGAACGGTGGGGAGATGGAAGAAGAAAGCTCGCGAGCAGCAAGAACGAAACGCCAACAGACAAGGGGACCCACTGAAGGAAACGACGACAGCCTACACAGGGTACGCAGAAAGGCGTGCGCATGCGCTGAGCGCCAACTTTACGACTCTGACGTCAATTCCGCCTCACACTTGAACTGTACCAGTAAGGACGGAGGAGGGAGTGAGCAAAAGCGACTCGGGCAGAGTCTTTCGCCAAGTTCATCTGCTGCGTTGGGTGTTGTTGTCCTGCTCAGGCAAGAAGGAAGCCTATAACCTCTAGTACCCTACTGTTCTGCACGGTTATTTTTACGTCGTTTACGTTATTTAATATATGCCAGAAGCGAAGCAAGGCAAATACAAATTAAGGTTAATTTCAAGTGGGTAGCCGTGTTGGTCAGAAGCAGCAGAACAGAGTTTGAGTCAAGTGGCGCCTTTGAGACCAACAAAATTTAACTTTATAGTCCTGCCTTCAGATACACGTCTTGCCCAGCTCTAGGGGTTGTCACCTTGTTATTCTTAATGTTGTTATTATAGTAAATACTACTTCTGCACTTAATTCGAAAATAATTGGTTGTTGTTGTTCAGTCGCACAGTCGAGTTCGACTCTTTGTGACCCCATGGACCAGATCACGCCAGGCCTTCCGGTTTTCCACCGTCCTCTGAAGTTGGCTCAATTTCATGTTCGTTGCATCTATGACACTGTCTAACCATCTCATCCTTTGCCGTTCCCGTCTTCTTTGACCTTCAGTCTTTCCCAGCATCAGGGTCCTCTCCAGTGAGTACTCCCTTCTCATTTGGTGGCCAAAGTATTTGAGCTTCAGTTTCATTATCTGGCCTTCCAGGGAACAGTCAGGGTTGATTTCTTTTAGGATTGACTGATTTGATCTTCTTGCCGTCCAAGGGACTCTCAAGAGTCTTCTCCAGCACCATAGTTCAAAATAATCTATTCTTCAGCGCTCGGCCTTCCTTATAGTCCAACTCTCGCAGCCATACATGACTACTGGGAATATCATTGCTTTGAGCATGCTGTTTAGGTTTGCCATCGCTTTCCTCCCAAGGAGCAGACGTCTTTTAACTTCATGGCTGCTGTCACAGTCTGCGGTGATCTGGGATCCCAGGAATATGAAGTCTGTCACTACTTCCATGATTTCCCCTTCTATTTGCCAAGGAGTGATGGGGCCGGATGCCATGATCTTAGCTTTTTTTATGTTGAGCTTCAAGCCCACTTTTGCGCTCTCCTCTTTTACCCTGAGCAAGAGGCTCTTTAGGTCCTCTTCACTTACTGCCATTAGAGTGGTATCGTCTGCATATCTGAGGTTGTTGATCTTTTTCCTAGCAATCTTAATTCCAGTGTGTAATTCATCCAGGCCAGCATTTCGCATGATGTACTCTGCATATATATTAAATAAGCAAGGTGACAATATACATCCTTGTCGTACTCCTTTTCCTATGTGAAACCAATCAGTCGTTCCATATCCAGTTCTAACTGTTGCTTCTTGACCCTTATACAGGTTTCTCAAGAGACATGTGAGGTGGTCTGGTACTCCCATCTCTTTAAGGACCTGCCATAGTTTGTTGTGATCCACACATTCAAAGGCTTTAGCATAGTCAATGAAGCAGAAGCAGATGTTTTTCTGGTACTCTCTTGCTTTCTCCATAATCCAGCAAATGTTGGCAATTTAATCTCTAGTTCCTAATAATAATAATAATAATAATAAAGTTCTTTAAAATAAGCAATAACTATTATTTATTTTTAAAGAATTGTGATTTCAGTCCAGAATCATAACTGCATCAGGTGAAAGTAAATGTCAGGGATTTCAGCCATGCATATTCCAGATAATGACAATAATTCAGTACCAAGTTGCTCCCTTAATGTAAATTGCTATGAATAACTTAAAAGTAAAAAAAATACAAGCTGTATGTTTTACTTCTTATGTAAAAGCTACTTTGCATACAGCAGTCTTTGTTATTTAAATTGTTCTTAAAAGAGTTACTGCAGCAAAAAAAGTTTGTTTTTTTAGCTTATCCACTGTTATCTGTGTCCTGTTTGAGAGTTTGCACTTTTCTCAACAATTCCTCTTAAATAGTCATACTAAAGTAAATCAGAACAAAGTTTAACTTTTTTCTGCTGCTTCAGACCAACTCGGCTACCCACCTGAATCTAAAGTAAATCAGATAATTCTCAAACGGATATTTTCACATTCTGTTGTTGCTCAGGGTTATTGTTCCTTTTTTATTAAGGCCATGTTCATATGTATAGTTACTTCATTTAACAAACACTTTCATTTGATTAACAAATATTTTAATAGTCATTAAACCTGGCTATTTTAACTGAGAGATAGGTCACTGGTAAGTGTATTTGTGAGGTAATACACATACAGAAGGCTCTTTTCTCCTGTAGTGGACTTGAATTCCAACAGACAGTATTGGCACTGAAAAGCCTCCTTCCAGCCCCTGATTTGCCTGGGCTCCTCTCTTGTGTCAAGATTTTCAGTCAGAGCTTTCCCATCAGAAATATTTCACTCAGCAGTCATGGACGTACTATACTAACAAAATCCTTAAAATATAATTTCCCTAGTGGGAGCAATAATACCATCAGACAACATGTTAGTGTTAAACTGAAGGATCCTTTCTTTTGTAAGACATTCACCATTAAATTAGAAACTACATGCCTTTGAACAAGCTTCCAGGTGCCAAAAAAGTATGCTACCACAGAGATGTAACCAAATTATTAGAAAGGTATGGTATACCTATTACCAGCAGGAAATTGCCCACCCCATTCCAGTGCACTCAAAGGCTAAGGGGCTAAAATGGCAACTACCTTCTCAACAATTCGTGATGGAGGAAGGGGCCATACAGGCCATCTAGTCCAACCCCCTGCTCAGTGCAGGATCGGCCTGAAGTATCCGTGACAAGTGTTTGTCCAGCCACTGCTTGAAGACTGCCAGTGAGGGGGTGCTCACCACCTCCCTAGGCAGCTGATTCCACTGCTGAACTACTACTACTGTAAAAAAAATCCCTAATATCCAGTGGGTATCTTTCTGCCTATAATTTAAACCTATTTCTGCAAGTTCTATCCTCTGTTGCCTACAGGAGCAGCTCCCTGCCCTCCTCTAAGTGACAGCCTTTCAAATACTTACAGAGAACAATCATCTCCCCCTCAACCTCCTCTTCTCCAGACTGAACATTCCAAAATCCCTTTCCTCATAGGGCATGATCTCCACACCTCTGATGATCCTTGTTGCTCTCTTCTGCACCTGCTCCATTCTCTCCACATACTTTTTGAAGTGAGACTTCCAGAACTACAGATAGTACTCTAGGTGCAACCTGACCAATGTGGTATATGACATTTTACAATTTGGATGTTATGTGATGCACACCAAGACAGCATTAGCCTTTTTTGCCACTGCATCACACTGACTGCTCATATTTAGCTTACAGTCCACCCATATCCCAAGATCTTGTTTACACACACCACTACCGAAAAGTGTATTTCCCATCCAGTATACGTTCTTTTCATCTTTGTTACCCAGATGAAGAACTCTGCACTTCTCATTGTTGAATTGCATCCTGTGCACATCTGCGTACTTTTCCAGTGTGTTCAGATCTCACTGAATTCTATCTCTGTCTTCCAGGGTGTTCGCTACTCCTCCCAATTTGGTGTCATCTGCAAATTTAATGAGTAGTTCCTCCACCATCCAGTTCATTTGTAAAAATATTGAAAAGTACTGGGACTGACTCCAACTCTGTTTTCTCCGGCGCACATTCTCTTTTTCTTCCCCTCCCTTTCTTCCCACAGGAGGAGGGGGAGGAGACTCAGCCAATGGAGGGAAGGGAGGTGTGGCTGTCTATCTCTTCCGTGCAGTTGAGAAACCTTGGGCAAGCAATCTGTGAGGCAGCAGCAGCCCCAGAGAAGGAAGCAGGAACAGGAAGCAGCAGACAGCCAGTTCCTTGTGGGCCTAGTAGGAGCCCTGCAGGGGCTGAATGTGGTCCATGGGCCATATGTTTGACACCCCTGTATCAGAACATCATGGGGAACCCTGTCAAAAGCTTTACTGAAATCCAGATAAACAATGTCAACGACGTTCCCACAATCTGATAGGCCCCTCACTTGATCAAAGAAGGAAACAAGGTTGGTCTGTCAGGACCTGTTGGGGACAAATCTGCACTGACTTCCCCAGATAACCAAGTTGTCCTTCAGTTGCTTGGATATTGACCCCTTTTAAAAATCTGCTCTAGGATCTTCCCTGGGACAGAAGTCAGACTGACTGACTTGTAGTTTCCTGGGTCATCCTTCCTCCCTTTTTTGAAGATTGGGATAACATTCACCCTCCTCCCATTTTTTTGGACATTTCCCATCCTCTAAGAAGACTTGAGGATGATGGACAAAGTTTCTGCAAGCTCTCAAGAAAGCTCTTTGAGCTCCCTCAGGTACAGTCCATCTGGATCGGGGAATTTGTACTCATCCAGTGAAGCCAGGTGCCTCTCAACAACTTCTCTGTTCATGTGAACCAGCAGCCTAGACACCATGCCTTGTTTACTACCATCTCTAGCTGGGCCTGATCTCTTCTTTAGGGGAAAAACTTAGGCAAAATAGGCATTGGGCCTTTCTGCTTTGTCCAGTGTCAGAGTTTCTCCATTTTCACCCAATGGTGAAACGTTGAGTTTGCTCCTCACATATCTAAGTTTTTCTTGTTGTGGTGAGCCTTCCTGGCCAGCCTCAGCTCACTCTGAGCTTTGGCCTCTCTAATAGCTGGCTACAGTGAAGAAGAAGAAGAGATTGGATTTATACATCTCTAGCTGGGCCTGATCTCTTCTTTAGGGGAAAAACTTAGGCAAAATAGGCATTGGGCCTTTCTGCTTTGTCCAGTGTCAGAGTTTCTCCATTTTCACCTAATGGTGGGCCTATGGCCTCTTTTACGTTGAGTTTGCTCCTCACATATCTAAGTTTTTCTTGTTGTGGTGAGCCTTCCTGGCCAGCCTCAGCTCACTCTGAGCTTTGGCCTCTCTAATAGCTGGCTACAGTGAAGAAGAAGAAGAGATTGGATTTATACCCCGCTCTTCACTACCCAAAGGTGTCTCAGAGCGGCTTACAAATCCTTTCCCTTCCCC